TCGGCTCATGAAACGATACGTAAGATGTGGACGTGACCAGTAGTGCTCCGTCTCAATTTTTACAGCTAGTGGACAAACAGAAGTACCAGCTTACCTCTCAGTAGGAGGAAAAGTTCCTGCTTCAAATGCATGTCTCCCTTTAATATGGCATAAACGTGCTGAAAATGGCCACCACTCCCAGCCCCGCCCCTGCCACCCCTGCAGGCAGTTTTCAGACACAGTGACTGCTTTATATGGGTCACTAACAGATCAACGTTCTCCCAAGCTAGGATCTTCCAAACGGTGAGATTTCTTAGATGGCTTTGCCCCAGAAAAAAACTGACCAAGGTACATTTGACATATTGAATTTAGTGGAGGGGTGGGGAGGAGAGTGAGAGAGGTGGGGCCAGTGTAAAATTCCCCCATCACCCTGATGTTGGAAACCCCTGTACACAACAAGGTGCTCTGTGAAGGAAGAGATGAGCGTGGGGAGATGAAGGACATGGAAATTGGGGAAGGCTTTGTGGAAGATGAGCAGAATCTGGAATAATGGCTAGAATTTGAACATGGGTTTGGGGTGGAGAGGAGGAGAAGAGACAAATCAGAGAGAGAGAAGGAAGAGAGGGGCAGATAGCTGGTTTAAAAGGTTCAGGTGCAGGGAGCAAAGAGAAAGGCATTCCAGGAGAGACTATTAGAGGAATTTAAAAAGCACACAGTAGAAGAAGTTGTAGCTTGAGTGGAGAATGCCAGATAACTTGGCTAGGATGAAGTGAGAAGATTAGAAAGGTAAGCTGAGGTCAAATCATAGTATGAAAAATGGTGATTGAGAAGTAAGGTGACCAGATGACCCAGTTTATGTCTGTTGTCCAGTGACAGTCCGTATGTCCCATTGTGGACATAACATTTAAAAACAAGATTTCATTGAGGGTTTATAACACAGAGCACAAAAAGGTTAAAACAAAAAAAAAAACCGTTGCCATCAAGTCGATTCCAACTTATAGTGACCTTATAGGACAGAGTAGAACTGTCCCACAGGGTTTCCAGGGAGCGGCTGGTGGATTTGAACTGCCGACTTTTTGGTTAGCAGCTGAGCTCTTAATCACTGTGCCACCAGGGCTCCACATGTTAAAAGCCACTGCCGTCAAGTCAATTCCATCTTATAGCAACCCTACATGATAGAGTAGAACTGTCCCATAGGATTTCCAAGGAGAGGCTGGTGGATTTGAACCGCTGATCTTTTGGTTAGCAGCCAAGCATTTGACCACTGCACCACCTAAAAAGTAAAAGATGGTGTAAAACATAAGGTGTTGTGGCGCAATGGATTGCCTCTATATGGCTTTTCTTGCCATGGTCTTATAACTCCCACCAAATAATTGTGTGGGACTATGCAAATAAGGTGCTTGTGGCCCACCAAGTGGCTTGGACAGCCTGCTAATAGTAATGCAAATAAGATGCATGACACCTTTGGGTGGGGGGGACCATGCAAATAAGGTGTATGGAACCCTAAGGAGGAGATTGGTCAGTTTTGCTATTCCGCTAGGCTTAAAATGAGCCATCCCAGAGGCAGAAAAGGGGGACCTCACTACCACCAAGAAAGAAGAGATGGGAGCAGAGCGTGTCCTTTGGACCCAGAGTCCCTGCTTTGAGACCTCCTAGGCTCAGGAGACAGAGAGAGCTGGCAGAGAGAGACAGACACGGTGGCAGAGAAATGGCTGCAGCAGAATCAGGAGTCCTGCACCAGATGGCTGCAGTGGGCTTCGTGGCCCACGGAGTAAGGAGGTTAGAGTGGAGCTAGAGAGCTGAGTGCCTTCGGGAAGGAGGTTTCCTGGTGGGGTGGGGTGCCCCTGGGCACTTGTCGAGGGAGCTAAAGAGCTTTGTTAACATTTGCCTGAGCAGAGCAGAGGCTGGGCTGAGGGCCAGAGAGAGGCCTGCTTGTGGCATGGCTGAGAAGAGGCTATCCTGATGGAAGAACTGTATCCTGAGTTGTTCCTGATCTGAATTGTAACCTGTTACTTCCCTAATAAACCCCATAATCGTAAGTATTGTCTGTGAGTTCTGTGTGGCCACTGCAATGAATTATCAAACCCAGCAGAGAAGTAGAGAGTGCCGTGGGAGGGACAACTGGTGTCAGAATTGGTAAAGATGGCAGAGAGAGGAGGCATGTCTGACCTCTGCCTCATAGGAATCAGCTTTGGGCTGATGCTGCTGGTGATTCTCTCTCCTCCCCTTTGTGAAGTTAGAGATCAGATGCCCCCCGCCCCGTGCCATTTTTACAGGTGTATATATGGCATATGTCTGTCTCAGCCGGTCAACGTTTATTGTAAGTTAACTACCCTTTGTTGAGCACCTACCCATCACATGCTGTGTAATCGGCTGCAGACAGGATATGGTGAAAGCTTCAGAGACATCTCGGGTGTAGCCCCTTTGCCAGAGTAAGGAAGTATCCTGGCATAACCTAGAGTCTGGCCTGATGAGGCAGGGCGACCTGAGAGAGTGGAAAACCAATGTTGAGAATGTGAACGAAGGTGACTGATACGCCAGCGCTTCCAAGTCACGGGAGTTGACTCGTCTCTGAACCAGTGTTTCTGAGAACCATCTGAGATGATTTTTTGACAATGTGTGGTTCAGATCAGGTGTTCAGTACATGCTAATTTCCTGTCTCTAGAAATTATTCAGGTATCTTTACCGTGATGGTTTATTTCGTAGATGACTGGTAGTTTTTAGGGGTTGTTTTCCTTTCAGAATGATAAGCTGTACTATTATTATTCTTAAAAAATATATTTATTAGATATGATGGCTAAGGCCCACATAACTGTTGAAACTGAGCGTATAAGTACCATTCTTAATTAACTGAACACGGTCTTCCGTTATCCTTGACAGAAAAAGAACAATATGTTCTCACAAACACTTAAAATACATTTCAGTGAAGATGACATTGGTGTAAGATTATAAGCCAAAAAAACCTATTGCCATCAAGTCGATTCTGACTCATAGTGACCCTATAGGACAGAGTAGAACTGCTCTGGTGGGTTCAAACTGCCAACCTTTCGGTTAGCAGCCGAGTGCTTAACCATTGTGCCACCAGGGTTCATAAGATTATAAGATCCTGCAAATTATGGAGAAGAAAATCTGAATCATTTTGCTTAAAGCACTATCAAAAAGTAGAAAGAATTGAGCATATACAAAATCCTCAAAAGAAACAGTACATTTTGTTATTTTGAGAGATTATTCTCAATTCCTTCCAGTTTCTTTCTAGTCACATCCCTTTGTTCTGTTACGTAGAGTCTAGTGCAGCTGGTCCTTGGAAAGAACTTGACCCTTTACAATTTGAAAGTCACCACGTGCAGCGATTCTAGCCAAAGTGACCCATTTTAAAAGATGACCCATTTTGAAACCCATGAGTTACTGTTCACGCTGTTCTATATTTAAGAATTAGAAAGTTATTTCCTTTTCCTACAGTCTCACCATATGACTGAGTCTTTTTTCAGAAGGGAAGTGTGATCTCCAATTTAATGAAATGTAATGTGGCATTTTGACTTGCCAGGGCTGTGTACTTTTTTCTGAGCATTCTTTGGCCCTCTGAGCTTTCTTTGTGGTCGAAGTATCTGTATGCAACAACACAGCTGGCTCTTGCTCATCTTTCACTTCCTCAGGAGCAGTCTCTCTGGCCTCCAGGCTCAGCTTTCCCTGTCACAGTACTTGTCCCATCCTGAAATCGCACTGCCAGCCCCTAGACGGCTGACATGGGTGGGAGCTGAGCCAGCCTCATCTTCAGAGACCACAAACAAACAAACAGAAACACCCCAACCAGTTGCCATGGAGCCTGTCCGGACTCATGGCGACCTTACGTGTAGCAGAGTAGAACTGCTTCATACGGTTTTCATGCCTGTGGCCTTTTGGAAGCAGATGGCCAGGCCTTTCTTTCTAGGTGCCTCTGGGTGGGTTTGAACTGCCAACCTTTTGGTTAGCAGCGGAGCAGTTAAGCGTCTGTGCCACTGAGGGACCTGTCATCCTCAGGGTGCTCTGTGAGTACTCACGGAGAGCCTGTGGGGGCAGGGGGAGATGGAGAAGGAGCAGGACAGAGGGGGATCATTTTAACTGTTTAATGAAAACCTTTCAGGTTTTGGATTTGTCTTGCTTTAAAAACAAAAAGAGTTGGCCCCCAAAAAGCAGGGTCCCTCTCTTGTGACAAAGTATAAAATCTACCGTAAGTTTCTTTCGAGAAAGCTAAAGCTGCTGATCACCAAATCACCCTTTCAGAAAGCTCAGGGTGGGATCATTTCAGGCCACCTAACAGGACGACTACCTTCAATCATTCTTTTCTGGGTCACTTTCAGCTTCTTACATCCCTCTCCCTTCCCCCATAGGGACCAAGCAAAGTGTCCCAAAATAAAGGCACAGAGGAACAAATCCAATTCCAATGGATGTACTTTAATTGGAGAATTTTCCTAAATATGAGCTTACAAGCCATCCCCAGCCACTGCGAGGTTCCGGCATTGGTGTCCTTTAACATAATGGTCCGTAACCTAGCAAAGTCAACACCGGGCAAGAAAAATACGAAGTGTGGAGTAGTGAGTGGAGTCTGACTAGAAGTTGCAGCTTTTACCTGTATGCTATCTGAACAGGCAATTAGTGTCACATCAGGATGCAAAATAAAACGTGGCAGGGCCAAAGGAAAGACAGCGGCGGAGAGCCCCCTCCCCACCCCCAGCTAGGAAGAGATCATTTCCCAGTCTCCACTGCTGCCCACTTCCATGTCTCCATGTCCCCAGCCTGTAAGGCGCCGAAAGCTTGCGGTTTCCTCATTTCCAACCCAAGGCAGGCTTTCTACCCTGGGAGGGGCAGCAAGATTGGGGTCCCCAGCCAGAAACTGAGGCCCGCCAAGCGCGCCATCCGCCTACGGCCTCCTGCTCTGGTCGATTTTGGCATCGCGGCGCGGCGGCCTCGGCCCCGGAGAGGGAGCCAGCCTGGCCCCGGGGAGTGCCCTCCCCGCCCCCCAGAGTCCCGGACCCCCAGCCTACCTGCCTCACCCGGGCGCGGCTCTGCCCGGTCCCGGCAGCCGGCCAGCGCGAACAAAGGCGCTCCGGGGAGGGAACGCGCCCTCTTCCCGGGCCGCGCTTTCGGGTGGCGGGCAGCCCTCGGCCGGTGGCGGCCAGGGCCTCACCAGCTCCCGGACGTTGCTGGGCCGCGCGGGCCGGGCCGGGGCCGCGTGTCCGGGCCCGGGGTCTGTGCCAGCCGCGCCTCCGGAACCCCTGCGCGCATTCCAGCCAGACGTTCTGGGGCTCCCCGGGCGCGGGGGGCGAGCTCCCTTCCTCCGACTTCCTTCCCCTCTCCACCCACAAAGATCGCGCCCAGTCCAGGGCGGGCTGAAGACTCCAGTTGCCTTTCCCGGAGACAGAGATCTGCGGGGCAGAGGCGGGGCGCCCTCCCCAGTCCCGGCACAAAGAGCAAACGACTCGCAGCATCCAGCCTCCTTCCCCAAGCGTGTGAAAACTTCCCCAGTAGGCGATCCCCGGCGGCAGACAGCCTTTCCACTCCGGGCGGAACTCGGCCCCCGCGAGAAGGCGGGTGGCTATAGCGGATTTTTTTGTTTGGACGCATAACCATATTAATACCAAGTGAAACAACCGCTGTCAATATACTTCTCAGTTAGAAACAATTCTTTCCAACGCGCAACAGTTAGTCCTACACGGAAAGTGAGTTGTTACTGAGTTGCAGTTCTCCCATGATCTTATTTTCATTTTAAAGCAAGATCCGTAAGGGCAGGCGACTGGAGACCGCTTACCTTCCCCTTCTGGGCGGAGGGCTAAGTAACAAAGAAAAGTCAAGCTAAGGGTACTTCGGCGGCTCCTTTTCAAACTACAGGGTGGGGGATGGGGTGGGGAACCCTCTCCCCCCAAAGATTTTACCTCCAAGCCCGGCTTCATTTCAAAGGGAGCTTAAAGCAGCACTCACCCAGTCCAAGCCCAGCTCCTTAAAACTCCCAAATCCCAAATCGGACGTCGCCTTTCCTCCTTGCATCCAAGCAAAAGTCATTTGTTTCAAGAACAAAACTTGCCCGCTTTGAATCTTCGGAGAGGACGCGGAACGGCCCAATGGAGGTGGGTCCAATCAGGGACTGGGCCGTAGGGCCGGGCAGCCGCAGTCTCCCCGCGGTGGCTCACTGGCACAGCCCAGCCTAGCCTGCACCCTAGTGCCACCGCCCCGGGTGTTTATGAAGGTGACAGGACCCGCCCACATTTGTTCGTATCCGTGGATCTGAACTCCAGGAAGCGGGTCCCCGCCCTACTTCAGTAGTGGTCGTGGTTAGGTGTCTAGTTAGACTTACGGTGACCCAGCGTACGACAGAGCAAAACACTGCCCGATCCTATGGCACCTGCACGATCACCGCTGTGCCTGATCCCACTGTTGGCAGCCATTGTGTCGGTCCATCCCATGGGGGGTCTTCCTCTTTTTTGCTGACCCTCTACCTTACCAAGCATGCTGTCTTTCTCCAGGGACTGGTCCCGCCTAATAACACGTCCAAAGTATATGAGACACATCTTCCCATCCTTGCTTCTAAGGAGCGTTCTGGCTGTAGTTCTAAGACATACTTGTTTGTTCTTCCGGCAGTCCATAGTGTGTTCAGTATTCTTCACCAACACCACAATTCAGATGCAGCAACTCTTCTTTGGTCTTCCTTATTCATTGTCCAGCTTTCACATGCATATGAAGCGATTGAAAACACCTTAGTCTTCAAGGTGACATCTTTGCTTTTCAACACTGTAACAATGTCTTTTACAGCAGATTTGCCCAATGCAATGGGCCAATCTTGACGGCTTGACTTCTCGACTGCTGCTTCCATGGGTGTTGAGCTGTTGATTGTGGATCCAAGATACATATCTTTCCTGATTTTTTAAACCACATAGTACCCTCTTGTTCTGTTCGAACGACTGCCTCTTGGTCTGTGTGCAGGATCCACATGAGCACAATTAAGTGTTCTGAAATTCCCATTCTTGACAGTGTTACCCATAATTTGTTGATGATCCACACAGTCGAATGCTTTTGCATAGTCAATAAAACACAGTAAACCTCTCTCTGGTATTCTCTGCTTTTAGCTGAGATCCATCTGACGTCAGCAATGATATCCCTCATTCCATGACCTCTTCTGAATCCGACTTGAATTTCTAGCAGTTCCCTGTTGACGTACTGCTGCAACCATTTTTGAATGATCTTCAGCAAAATTTTACTTGTGTGTGATATTAATGATATTGTTTGATAATTTCCTCATCCTGTTGGATCACTTTTCTTTGAAATGGGCACAAATATGGATCTTTGCCAGTCAGTTAGCAAGGTGGCTGTCTTCCAAATTTCTTGGCATAGACCAGTGAGTGCTTCCAGCATTACATCTGTTTGTTGAAACACCTCACTTGGTATTCCATCAGTTCCTGGAGCCTTTGTTTTTCACCAATGCCTTCAGTGCAGCTTGGACTTCTTCCTTCAGTACCATTGATTCTTATCACATGATATATCCTGAAACAGCTGAATGTCCACCAGTTCTTTTTGGTACAGTGATTCTGTGTATTCCTTCCATCTTCTTTTGATGCTTCCTGCGTCGTTCAATATTTTGCCCATAGAATCCTTCACTATTGCAACTTGAGGCTTGGATCTTTTTCTTCAGTTCTTTCAGGTTGAGAAATTCTGAGCGTGTTCTTCCCTTTTGGTTTTCTAACCAGATCTTTGCACGTTTCCCCCTCCCTACCTACCCGAAATATAAATCCTGACCGTAATCCCAGCTATCGTATGTGTATTTAAGTGCAACTGTTCAATTACCATTTTATTCCTTTCACGCTATTTGGAACTAGGCCCACATAGGTCCGCGTATCAGCACATGTGTGTTTCACATGCATAAATAAATAGGACTGTACCCACTGGACATACACATTGACCCAAACATTGATAAACACATAAAAATCACATACGCCCATAGTCATACATGCAGATAAACACACCAGCCAGATCCATGATTTCTGAAGTTAGTGGTGAAGTTGATGAGAGGATGCAGGACTTTTGGTGGGAGAAGGAGAGAGAATGTGGATAAGAGATGTTGGGGACTGGCAGGGTGGCCCACAATGCCTGCCCTGGTGCCCCCTTCCCAACACACACACCTTCCACACAGGGAAGGGTGCTGGGGTCTGGGATGCCCCTTTACCTGTCTGGGAGGATTTCCCAGAATAGGCTGGCTGTCCATCGCACCCCACAAGGAAGGGAAGAGGGTGGTAGATTTGATGTATAAAGTAAAATACTCTGTTATGTTTTGGGGGAGGGAGGGCATGAAGATTTTGGAATTGGTTGGGAATAAACTGGTTTGAAAGGAATCCTCGTGGTGCAATGGTTAGAGTGCTCAGCTGCTAAATGAAAGGTCAGTGGTTCTAACCCACCAGTGGCTCCACAGGAAAAAAGGCCTGATGATCTGCTCCCTTAAAGGAAACTCTATGGGGCCGTTCTACTCTCACGTAGGGTCTCTATGAGTCAGAATCTGCTCGAGGGCACCCAGCGACAACAAAGTGGACAGGGATGATGGCAACTTGACCAAAAGGAAGATAGAGGATAGGACAGTCCTGTTGGTGAGCAAAGGAAGCTAGGATTTTTAAAGGACTAGGTTTGTAAATGACTCTTAGGCCTACTGTCAGGAATTTACCTTGCAGAGCAGTAGGGAACTATGGAAAATACTAGGAAAAAAAGTAACTAACATCAAGATGGTGGACTTGAAAAATGAGAGGGGTTGAGATTTATGTTACATTTAGGAGGGATGGATGAGGCAGAGAAGGAGCGGGAGGAGGGGAGCAGATTTAGGAGAGAGGATCAACATGTTTTTTTATTTTGTGGGGAGAGAAAACTAAACCCTGAGTGCAGGAGATGGTGGGAGCACGCGGGGCCCAGGTGAGAAACAGACATCACTGGAACCGCGAAGAGGCTTCGTGCCTAACCCAGCTGGAGCACACCAACAGAGTCAGGCTTGACTGTTGAGCTAAGTCACTCCTCCCACTCTGTTGGGTCAGGAGGTTTCCTCACAGACACTGACAGACTCAAACCCATGTCCTGTGAATTCAGGCACAGCCCAGGCCCTGTGTTCTGATGAGCATGCGCGCGTGGCCTGAGGTGTTAGAGACCTGGGTGAATCCTGACTGGCTTCCCACTGATCACAGGATCTCAGCCAGTTACCCGACTTCTCTGCTTCCCGGTAACACCTGCCTCTGAGGGGGCGTGGGGACTGAATACAGTAACACAGGAGAAGTGCTGAGCAGAGTTTGGGGTGTCCTCACGGGCAGGATGAATGGTCAATATCCTCTGCCCATGGGCTGCAGGAAGCTTGTTCTCACTTGGTGAGCTGTTCTTCATGCTGCATCCCAACATCACCGCCACAAGAGTCCCCTCTGTTCAAGTCTCTGGAAATAGATTTTCTGTAAAAACGCACGTTAAAATGATGCAGCGTCTCCTCTGCTGCCTCTTACTGCACTATCAGCCACTCCCACCCACACACATGTCCTTCCTGGAGGCTCTTTTCTCTCTACACTTGCTCCTTGGGGACCCCATCCATTGCCTTGAATCCCACGTGTGTATTCTAGCCCAGATCCTGAGCTCCAGACTTGAGTGTCTTCATGAGAAGAGCCCAATAAATCTTAGGCTGAACGTGTCTGAAAAGGAATATCTAGATACATGCTTCTTGTGAACAGTGAGTGATGGGACTTGAATGCCTCACAGCCCAGAATCCTCTTTCTTCTCTAGGGTGGACCCAGCCCAGGGTGTTAATGTAAATAACAATTGATAGCACTTGTATCAATTATCTGTGGGCCTGTTTTCCCCACTCTTTGAGAGTCTTCAGAGCTCTCGAGGGAGGAGACGGTGTCCTGCTCACCTCCGACTCCCTCAGAGCACCCACCCCACCTCCCCGCCACGATGCCTTGCACAGAGTGAATGCCGATGAAACGAGAGCTGAACTGAATTGGGGCAAGCACTTCCCGTATTCACTGAATGTCCAAACGTCTCTTCCAAGAAGCCTCACCCAAGCACAATGGCTCCCTGCATTCCTCTCCTCGATGCCGTCAAGGGCCACAAGTGGCCAGGGGAGCCACACAGCCCCTCCCCTGCAGCCCTGCTGCTGCCTCTGTGGTGTGGCTCCACTCAGCTTCCTCCCTGGTGCCAGGACCTTGGCAGTTGGAGACAACCATACCAAATACATCAAGACCCAGAGGATAAAGGGAACTGACCCTTGTGGTTGGCTCCACAGCACCGAGGCCTCACCACAGGCCATTCGGAGAACCTTCCAAGAAGCCTAACTCACAGCACAGAGGCCTCACCACAGGCTGTTCTAAAAACCCTTCTTGTCCCACTCTCCTCTCCTCTGTGGGGAGCTGACTACCTCCTTCCCATGCCAGCGCACCTCCTGTGGGCCAGTCCAGCACTCAGTAGGGCCCCACAGGGAACGGGAGCACAAGGCCAGCGCAGGGTTCTCCTCGATCCCGCAGATGCACAGATGGCAACTGTGACAATGACCGGGTCTCCTTCTCCTCCTTCCGGGTCTTAGCATTTCTTCTGCCTTCCCCACCTGCAGATGAGACGCTGACTCCACACTCCCAGGTGTGTCCAGGGTTCTGTGCAGGTTCCCGGAGGCTGCCTCTAACGCCACCTCTGTCTCTCCTACTCAGGAGAGCATGTTCAAGTTGAGTGACATGTCTGTAGGGATCTTGAATGTTTGAATGATTAACACATTTTAAAAGGCAATTGGCACGCAACCTTGCCACAGCTATCTAAACTGAGCAAAACGATCAGAGTCCTGTGATGGGGCGGTACAGAGGAAAGGAAGAAGTGTAGAGCCTGTGGAAATGTGCAGAGAATAGTTACTGACTATGCT